GTTTTTTTTTTTGTGTGTGTGTGTGTGTGTGTGTGTATGTGAGTGAATTGATTTGTTTTTTGTTTTTATTTTTTTTTAGCTCCCACCAATAAGTGAGAACATGTGGTATTTCTTTTTCTCTGCCTGACTCGTTTCACTCAGTATTATTCTTTCAAGGTCCATCCATGTTGTTGCAAATGGCAGTATTTCATTTGTTTTTATAGCTGAGTAGTATTCCATTGTGTAGATATACCACATTTTCTGTATCCACTCATCCGATGATGGACATTTGGGTTGATTCCAGCTCTTGGCTATTGTGAAGAGTGCTGCAATGAACATTGGGAAACAAGTATATCTTCGACTTGATGATTTCCATTCCTTTGGATATATTCCCAGGAGTGGGATAGCTGGGTCGTATGGTAGATCTATCTTCAGTTGTTTGAGGAACCTCCAAACCATTTTCCATAGGGGTTGCACCATTGTGCATTCCCACCAACAATGTAAGAGAGTTCCTTTTTCTCCGCAGCCACGCCAGCATTTATCTTTCGGTGTCTTTTGGATTTTTGCCATCCTAACTGGGGTGAGATGGTATCTCAGTGTGGTTTTGATTTGCATTTCCCGGATGCTGAGTGATGTTGAGCATTTTTTCATATGACTGTTGGCCATTTTTATATCTTCTTTAGAGAAATGCCTGCTTAGCTCTTTTGCCCATTTTTTGATTGGGTTGCTTGTTTTTTTCTTGTAAAGTTGTTTGAGTTCTTTATATATTCTGGATATTAGTCCTTTGTCAGCAACAAGAGTAATTTAAACTAAAAATTAGTCTTCAGATTGGCATTCTACTTTTCAGCAATGGGCCTCGATCCTTTGCTTGAGCGATCATTTTCTATAAGCTTGAAGTGTGTCAAGGGTGAGCAATGGTGCAGCCTTCCCAGGGACTGCCTATCCCTTGCTCTATCATCTTTGCAGCTACTATTCCCACATCCCTCTCTGCAGAACAGTCACATAATTCTCCAAACTTGCTCTCTGGTGTTATTAGGCATAACTTCTGATTCAAGACAGCAGTGTTTCAATGCACAGTTCCATCTTTTTAACCTCAAAGTGGCTCATGGTGAGGAAACTGGCTGGAAAGCACTTATAAAGTAGTCACATCTGAGACAATGAGTGTATAGCATATGTTGAACTAGTGCATGACTATTATTCACTTTCAGTAAATGTTTAACTCAGCAATATTCAAACTTACCAAATAAGTTCCCATTTCTTTTTCCAGGATGACCTGTTCATATAATGAAGCATCGATGTCTGCCTTTAAAGCCTGCACCTTCCTCTTTACCCGCACACCATGCTTCCTTTGGAGCCAATAAGGAAGAAGAGATTCCACAATTTGGTTAAGGATCTGGGAGGTAATCAGGAGAGTGGCCAAGCTCTAAAGAGAAGCACATAAATCATATTTGGCAATGTAGCTTAATAAAACCATTGCATGTATACAATTGTGCAATAAATAAAATGGAATCCTCAATAAATAGGGTACCATTGTGTTATAAAAACTAATATTAGAAATGCTAGGTGTTAGAACAGTGTTCCTAATTTATGGTTGTTCACAAGAAAGACTTAGATCAAAATACAAACAAGATTATAATACAAATAAGATAATAATAAGAAATAAACCAGTCAAGTGTTGGTAGGAAAACAAATTAACTTGAAATCATGTTATCCTGACTGCAACATAGGAATCTAAACAATGTTGCCAACTTTGAAAAAAAAAGTTTGGCTAAAACTTAAAGAAAAATTAAATTATAAAACAAAGAAAATAGAAAAAGAAACCAACCATAATTCCATAACCCTGGCAGAAACACTGCTACATCTTAGGATATTTCTTTCCAATCACACATAAAAATAAAACTATAATTATCCTATATGTATACAGCTTTGCATATTGCTTTTCTTATTTAATATATTGGGAGCATATCATTAAAAATTCTTTTTGAAATAGCCTGTACACTGCTGTTGAATTAAGTATTATTTCCAACTTCCACTAAGCTGCTGCTTGGGTATCCATGTACATGAGTCTTGTCCCATGTCTGATGACATGTTAGGGATGAGTTAAGATTCATATCCAACTGGTTTCCAGAGACGTGTGTCAATTTCCACTTTCCCTAGGTAGATATGAGTGTTTCTACCACACCCCAACTTTGCTGGTACTACAATTCTATTTTTTTAAAAAGTCCTTTTCCATTCCACTGTCCTCTGTTAAACAAAGGAAACCCTCTAAAGTACAAGAAATGAGAGGTCATGCCCTATTAACAAGATAATGTGTGGGACCAGTGGAGGTAAGTAACATCCAGCTTATCAATTCCAAATGTATTATTTTGAATTTTCTCAATTTTTAAAAGTAATTTTTAAAAAGTAGCAATGTATCTAGTATAATTGTTAAGAGCACAACCTTTAATTTTACTTTTATGCAAGCTGTTAGAACCACAACTACAAAATCTTTTAATCTTCTCTGATTACACAAATTTTTTAATTTCTTGAAAAATTATCCCAAGCTCTCATACAGAAAGAAGCCTAGGCTTTGATACAGTGCTCACTAACAATCTCAGAATACTAATAACTGGCTTTACTATAAAAAAAGAGAACTTAGAAATTAATAATTTGAGCTCAATTTATTATTCACTGGTATTATGCGATCCAGAAATGGAAAAGCATCAAAATAAATGTCTGACTTTCTTAAACATTTCAGAAAAGACACAGCACTGCATAGGACCCACTGATCCCTAAAGTTTAACAACTTATTAATTTAAAAAAATGAAATTTACAAGACCGGTTCAAGGTTATACCAATCAACCCCCCACCCCAAAATACACACAACTGTTCAAACAATGAATACATTTTTGCTCTTAGAATGGCTTTGACAAGTTTTGAGGTGAACTACGTAATTGATTTAATGGGCCTATATGATTAGTTTTACAAGCTGGTTAGATTCAACTAATTTCTTTTCAGTTGAGAATGATACACAGTACAATTGTTAATGGTTTTTAAATTTAGAATTGAGCTTAGAAATATATAAAATTTAAAAGATTTTATTTTTGAAAATAATAATTTGAAGACAATTACATTACCTGAATATAGGAAACCACCACCAAGACCTAAAAAACTGATACTTTTCTGTTATTCACACTCACCTGGCGCAAAAGCTTCATATCTTTCAGAACAAAGGCAATGTAGAAGAGTGAGGCGAAGCAATTTAGAAAGTTGAACTACCAAAAATAAGATAACAGTGTTAAATACTGCTTTACAGTACTTTATAGCAACTGTAAATATAGCATTAAAAAATGTAATAAGGGACTTCCAGTCCAGATGAGATGGCACTGACTTGTTTCTCCTATGTCTTCTCATTAAATACAACTATAAACTCTGGAAATAACACAAGAGGCAACCAAAGAACAACAAAAGATGCTTAAAGGAAAACAAACTGGTTTGGGACCCCTGGACAGAAGGAACAAAACAGCACCAGCACATCTGGAGGAGAAGGAGGAGGAGACCATGCACCAGCATTTCCCAACCCCAACCTAACAAATCAGGTAGCCAGGTAGGCTCATTCCTCCCCCATTCCAACAGGAGTCCTGTCAGTACCAGGCGAGCCCAGCAGAACTGGCAAGGGAGAATCTATTAGGAACCCCACTAACAATCAGCTGCCAGGGGTTTTCCTCCTCTGCTGCCCCATTGAAATGGCAGAATGGCCAAGCAGCACTGGCAAGAAAGACCCCACCACAACAAGCAGCACAGCTTTGGAAGCCTCTTTATGCTCACAGACCTAAGACTCTCCTCCCCCACCAGCAGACAGTGGGGCAGCTGGGTGGCACTGACAAGGGGGATCCTGCCACAACAAGGGACCCAATACAAGAAGCCTCTTTGTGCTCATGGGTCTAAGACTCCCCTTCCTCATGGAGGGACACTGAGGTAGCTGGGTGGCACTTGCCAGAACAATGGGCATGGCCTGAGAAGCATCTCTGTCACCATGGGAATGAACTCACCTGCCCTGCCAGACACATAGTGGCAGCCTGGGGGCTGAGGGTACAAGTCAGGGAGATCCTAACACAAAAAGTGCCATTTCTTCAAGTAGTTTCCCTGCTCAAGAACCTGCAACTACCCCCTGCACTAATGCGTCTCCTTCCTGCCTCCCTGCCCCGACGCTGCCTACTTCCTGCTTAGCAGCATCACTTTCTGAAACAAAGGCTGCTATGTGTACAAGAGTGAGCACTTAATTAGAGAGGAGATGGGGAGTCATTCTGGAGAGTAAGCAGTAAGATCAACATAGCCACAGATGGGAGGTGGTAAGTTAGAGCAGAACTTGAAAAGCAAAAGCCTGGGAAGGCTGAGAAATGCTATATCCCCATAAGATTAAAAGGGAAGGGAGAGAGCTAAGAAACACAACTGAGGAAGAACAGACTCTAACTTACAGGTCTTTTTACCTGACATTGCACCTGGCATTGTCAGAGAATAATAAAGTCTCATAAATAACTGAATTCTTTAAGACAAATGGAGCGTTTTTGCCTCTAAGGGCAAAAGCTCCATATTATAATCCTTTTGAATGAACTTTTCAATGCATACATGTTCCTCTGCTTTCTTACACAGAGAACATAGAACATAATTTCTTTGCTGATTCAGCACCAACTTTTTAAATATCAATTATTTTATAGAATGAATGAGGCCTTTGGAGTCTTTTTAGATGTATGTGGCCACATGCCCCTTTTCTAATGCTCAAATTGTTGAATTCCTATCTGTTTATGATGGTTTTCTATTTCCTTACCTGCTCTTGCCTCTATAAAGTTTACCCCCTTCCAAAAATCTAAACACCCTCGTAAGGGTGGTTTCTTATCTTTTAAGGACTGAAAAGCCAGATAAACTTAGGATGACTTCTATACCCAGAACAAAAACTCTTTCTAAGTAAGGGCCTGGATCCCTCTCTCAGGAATAAAGTACATGGACTGTGTTAAATTAACTCCAGCTGAAAGTTTGGAGTACTCTTTATGTATCTTTCTTGATTCTCAGATGTGTTATACATTGAAGAGGTAATCTCCTGATAAATGAGGTGCTTTTGAGCTGGTACTTCTTTATTATTTATAATAATGGTGGGAAGAGGCATAATGTGTGAGCTTTTACACAAACAGCAGGCACTTTTTCTCTGTCTCTTTCCTCCTACCCATGAAAACATGCTGGGAACCTTTTGAACTTCAGAAATTTCTTTACCAAAACTTTAAAAAAAAATTTAATGCTCCATCATTAAACAGATTGTTGGTACCTGGAAGTATTAATGAACAGTAAAACATTCAAATAAGTCACCAAAGAATAAAAATATGTCTATAAAGTGGTTAGTTTTTTAAATAACTGGAAATTGGCTATAACACTAATTTCTATATTTTGAAGTCTTATACCATGTGCACATTTGTAATAAGGCTACTAAACACAGATATAAATATATTTATAAATCAATTCTTGCCTATCTGCACAAAACACACTACCTTAAATTAGAAGCAACTCCTCATATTTATATTCCTAAATGTAAAATAATATGCATTAGTTTCATAGTTAAAATGAATTTGGACATAAAAACTCTACTTACCACTAAAACTTTCAGAATTAGATGATTCTGGTAGGCAGATTCCAATCTGTGATTCTCTAAAACATTAATAGGGAGAGGTAGTTTCTCTCAGATGTGAAAACAATATGGGAGCATTTTCAAGAGGTAAAGTGGGACTTTAGGCTGAAAGCAGAGATGTCCAGCACCAGAGCCTCAGTCAATAACTGCTCGGCTGTCAACCACGGCTATTCCCTGCCACCAAGAGCTTCAAGCAAGGACACACTTTTCATGGTACTTCAATAGCACTGTGGTCTAAAATTATTTTTTAAATATTACTCCTACAAAGAAATTTGGGAAGTGTTGGCAAATGATCCTATAGATAGCCACGCACAAAAAAAGACCCTGTATAAGTGACAACAGTAAAAACTGATAGTAACATCAAAAGAGGAGGGCGATAAAGTTTTCTGTACACATGGTTTACAAAAATTAATTTAAAGGGAAGCCCAAACTTCCATCATCACCTACAAAAGGTGATGCCATAGATCCCAAGACAGCAGGGCAAAAAGACAAAAAAAAAAAAAAAAAAAAAAAAAAAAGATTCTGAAGAGAAGTGTCATCTTGCACAGAGAGGCAGCATTAGGCTGACTTTGAT